GCGCTCACCTGTGCGGCCCGCGCCATCGCACTTCTTCACCTTCGCTTCCGCGGCGCTGCCACCGCCCTCGCGGACCCGGCCACACAGCTCCGAGCCCGGGGAAAACTCCGCCTCGCCGCGTCCCGTCAGACACCCGCCGCCGCGGCCTTTCTCTCAGGGAAAGTGCACGATTGGCCTCGCCGCAGCCTTTGCGCGCGGCCGTAAAGCCGACCTTTCCACTGTCGCGATTCTGACGTGCGTCGCGCAATCTAGTGCGCTGGGGCCATGGCTGCCTTGCGGCCCGGAAGCGAAGCGATTTGTCTGTATCTCTGCCGTACTTTCTCCGGCGGCGTTGGTCGGCTGGCCCATGAACGCGGGACGGAGCGCAGGGATGCTGCGTCCAGCCGGGTAAGCGGGACGCCCGGGGACGCTGGCAGGGAGGGAGGCCTGAGCATCCCCCGCGACGCCTGCATCTACCCCGCGGGCTAATCTTTGGAGCGGACCCGCTATGGAGAGTGCGAACCTTGCTTTTTCCCGAAGTTAATTACTGTTTATATTTACTCGACTCTTGAAGTGTGCATTTTCTCATTCCCGCTTCGTTACGAAGATTAGTATTCGTCTTAAAACGGTAGCTCCGACTTTTGTAAACTTGACGATGTTTGCAAATATGCACGTAACGTCCAAGATCCCACAGTGTATGTCTGCAACAAGAAAGGCAGCAGGTTGGGTTTTTTGTTTTTCTTTTTTTTTTCTTTTTGTTTTCTTTTTAATCATTTGCACTTCTTTGAGAGTGGACGTTTTGTTTAAAAGAGGCCTATGTCTTGAGTCTATCAGTCAGATGAAAATGTTGACTAAAGCTTCAGATAAAACATTAAACAGGGCACATGGCTACTAACGCTTCATTTGCCATCTTGCTAATAACAGAGTCTGGAGAGCTTTGTTTAAGCAGTAATTAAGGGAGAACAGGAAAAAAAGGGAGATAATTAAAAATTTCAAAATGTGCCTGCTGTGTGAATTTTCATTTCTGTTACGCTGTGTTTCTTAGCACGCTTTTATCATTACTGCGGCTTTGAAGTTCTGTCTAGTCTACAGTTTAGATTTGTTGCCTAGGCTCTTGGCGGCTGGCTCAGTTCTCTGGCACAAGAAACAAGCAATCCTTTACTTCTGTCTCTAGAAATCAGAATTTTAGTCCTTGGGCAGAAAGAATAAAGTAGATGTCAGAACATGCTTCGGGAGGGAAAATGTAACTAAGCCAAGAGCTTTCTCAGGGTGAGAGGTTCCCTGGCATTCATTCATTTACTGTTTTTGTTTGTTTGTTTTTAAATTGCGTGTGATATGTGTACTCAGGAGTTGAGAGGACACCTTTCTGGAGACCTATCACTCCTTCCATGGTAGGCTCCAAGAGTGGAACTCAGGCCCTCACATGGAATGCTTTTACCCTCTGAGCCACCTTGCCTGACCTCCCTAGCCTATCTGGTGAACTGATGCTGGGAAAAAGGTCAGCAAGAAGTCTTTGAAGAGTCTTGCTAGGGGTGTGTGGGGTGTGGGGACTGAACCCCTTTACCTCACAAGGCAGGCTGGTCTCCATAGAGTGAGACCCTGTCTCAAACAAAACAAAGCAAACAAAAAGTAAATATTCCTCAGGGTAAATATTCCTCAAGATATCGCTTGAGCCTTTTGTAGTCACGTGGAAGCCTGGATCGAGATGACCAGCTAGGGGAGCTGACTACGAGCCAGAACTTGCCGATTCTACACTGACTGTCGGTGCTGTGCTTTTTTAGGATCAAAATGTCCCATTATGATAAATATTAGGTAGCACAAAAGAAACGTTTTGCCTAAGGACAGTTTATGTCTTACTACATTTCTTGTTTCCTGAACTATTGAGTGCTTGTAAGATGGAGGTTGCCTTGCAAAGACACTCTGTAAATAGCAAGTCTAAAAAGTAACATTGTGGCTGGGATGGTGGTGTGACTTTAATCCCAGCACTTGGGAGGCAGAGGCAGAGGCAGGTGGATGGCTGAGGTTGAGGCCAGCCTGCTCTACAGAGCAAGATCTACACAAGGAGACTCTGTTTTGAAAAATCAAAAACAAACAACATTTTAAAAAGGAACATTGCAAACCTTTTCTTCAATTAAATAAATCCTATACTAGCTTATTCTGCATATTTTTCTTTAGCTGTCTTACTTTAAAGAGACCCACATTTGGGACCAGTGTATAACTTCATTTCTGATCTCTTTGCTTTTTAGTTTTGTCTTTGTGTGTGCGCAGTCTTGTGTATTCCAGGTCAGGTTGACCTTAGACTTGCTGTGTAGCTGAGGATGACCTTGACCTCCTCATCTCTGCCTCCATCTTTCCAGTACTGTGATTATGGTGTCCATCAGGAGATGTTGCACAGTGCTAAGGACTGAGCCACATCAGCAGCCCCGGTTATTTTTAAGGGTGATTTTTGTTGTGTTTTGTTTGGAGTTTTGTTTGTTTTTGTTGTTGTTGTTGGTTGTTGAGACAGGGTTTCTCTGTGTGGCCCCAGCTGTCCTGGAACTCATTATGTAGACCAGGCTAGTCCCAAACTCAGAGAGCCACCTGCCTCTTCCTCCTGAGTGCTGGTAATAAAGGTGTACATCACCATGCCCTGCTAGGAGGTAATTTATGTGTCTAGGTGTTTTACTTGTGTCTATGTTTGTGCATGCAGAGTCTGTAGAGGCTAGAGTAGTGTGTTGAATCCTCTGGAACTGGAGTTACAGATGACAGTCAGCCCCTATCTTAGTTAGGGTCTCTGTTTCTGTGAAGAGACACCATGACTACAGCAAGTCTTACAGAGGAACATTTAAAGCCACATTTAATAGGGTGGCTCACAGTTCAGAGATTCAGCCTGTTATCATCATGGTGGGACATGGTGGTGAGCAGGCGGATTTGGTGCTGGAGAGGTAGCTGAGAGTTCTGCATCTTGTGCAGGCAACAGGAAGTGAACTCATACTAGGCATGGCTTGAGCATATATATGTCTATATAGATATATGTCTATATAGATAGACAGATACATATACATGTATACACATACACTGATATAGAAATCAATACTTTGCATAGATATGGATCTTGGTTTGATACAACTTTAAGATCAATTTTGTTATTATATTTATTTCTGCTCTTGATTAAGGTACTGTGTTTGTGCAGCTCATTTAAAAAATGTAATATATAATTAAGAAATATAATAGTTAAGCTTGTAGTCATGTTAGTTAGGTTTTCTAGATACATATATATGTTTCATTTAGATAGGTACTTTTCAAATCTTTCAGAGACCTGCAGAATATGGCATTTAAAATGTTTTAAGAACTTTTATGACAATGAGACACATTTACTCCTGGGAGCACCAATCTCCTTCAAGAGGATGATGGGCATTGAAGAAGATCCTTATGGAGTTTGCTAGCCATTTGGGCAAGAAACTGCTCTTGCCTGGACTGTTTGATGTTATGCTGTATGAACTGGACAAATGGAACCCACAGAAAAATAACTGCTGAACTTGCCTGAAGGTGAGACGGTACTTCAGGGTTCCTGCTTCATGATAGAGTCTTCTAGACATTCTGCAGAACACAGAAGAAAGTGACTGACAAACTGCCAATGTAGGCGGAACTTGTCTTTGAAATTTCCTGCTTTGTGGGAAAGTCTACTGTATACTGTGGGCCTGTAGGCTGATGGATGCCCCAACGGTACAGAAGAACTTTGGGTGACTGTCCAGGCAGTGAGATGTCTGTCAATTCTAGAGTTTTTGGAAGTTGCTTATAATGCACTTCCTGCTAACTTAGGTAATATTGTATCCTGTGGTCTTTGATGGTGTTGAAGAATAGATAGTTTAGTTTTCCTTAGTTACAATAAAAGATAAAAGTATTGTAACTGTAATTCTTTTTTTTAAAGATTTATTTATTATGTATACAGTGTTCTATATGCCTGCAGGACGGAAGAGGGCATCAGATCTCATCTTGGATGGTTGTGAGCTACCTTGTGGTTGCTGGGAATTGAACTCAGAACTTTTGGAAGAGCAGCCAGTGCTCTTAACCTCTGTGCCATCTCTCCAACCCCATAACTGTAATTCTTGCTTGATACCTGTTTTGTTATATGTAATTTTACTATGCTAAAGTTAAAACCTTCCTTTTTATTTTGTCAGAAAAGGGGAGGTGTTGTGGGATTCCCCTCTATATACCATTGGTTAATAAAGAAGCTGCTTTGGCCAGTGGCTTAACAGAATATAGCCAGGCTGGTAAAGATCCATAGAGTAGGTGGAGTCAGTGAGATACCAGGTAGGGTAGCCGCCTGAGGAGACAGATGGTGGAACCTTGCCGGTAAGCCATGACCTTGTGTTGATGTACAGATTAATAGAAATGGATTGATTTAAGATGTAAGAACTAGCTAGAAATATGATTAAGCTATTGGCCAAACAGTATTGCAAATAATGTAGCTTTTATGTGATTATCTAGGTCAGGGCAGCCGGACGAATAAACAGCCTCCGGAAACAATGTACCCCAAAGCCTGCCTCCACAGTTACACACTTCTTCCAACAAGACCATACTTATTCCAACAAAGCCTCACCTCCTAATAGTGCTACACCCTATGAGATTATGGAGACCAATTACATTCAGACTATCACAGCCCTCATATGGGTGCTGGGAATTGAACTTGGGTCTTCTGGAAGAGGAGCTAAGTACTCTTGATAACCAAGCCATCTCTTCAGTCAGAGGGCAAAAGTTTAATGAGGTATAGGACATTTACACTATTACGTCATTTACACAAGAAAAAAATGAATAATTGTACATGAACAGGCCTGTTGTCACTGCTGGAACCATGGCCTCCTGACATGATATACCATTACTGCTGTGGCATTCCTCAAAACTTAGTCAGCCAGGCATGGTGGATCATGCCCATAATCCTATCACTCTGGAAGCTGAAGTGGAAGAAACGGTTCAAAGCTAGCCTCAGCTACATAGAATTCTGAGGTTACATGACATCTTTTCTCAAGAAAAAAAGTCACTTTTAACTTCATAAAATGTTGTTGGACAGTGGTGGTACACACCTTTATTCCCAGCACTCAGGAGGCAGAGGCAAGTGGATCTCTGAGTTTGAGGCCAGCCTGGTCTACAGAGTGAGTTCCACAACACACAACAGCC